AATAGTCAACGTTTGTAACATCTCCCATTCCCATTAAATCCTTATTTTCCTCTTATATATCTCTTAATCTCTTTTTAAGTAGGGTGCAAATTAGATAGGTTGGGTTAGGTTAAGGGTCAACTTAAATATGAACCTTAGCTTGGACCCAAATTAGTTCACTAGTAGTACATGGGGTGAACCAATCTAAACAAATCATTGCTCATTTCCTTGGGTTATCAGGTTTTTCCCCCTATTTTACTCATTTCCTTGGGTTGAGGTTTTTTTGTTCATTTTTTTTTAATTTAATATAAGTTATTTAATGGATTGTTGTCTTCAATAATAAAATATAGTAAGAAAGAAATTAATGTGAGTTTTGGTTATCTTCATCAGTTCAAATTTGAAATTGTTTTATTTAACTTGGTTATTAATCTCATGTTAAGCACATTTTTTGGCTTTATAGGGCTACACAATGATAGGTAGCCCATTGCCCCAACCCAGGTCTTTACTACAACTAACTAGATAAGGAATCAATTGAGCCATCATCAGTTGGTTTATGTATTTCTCATAGTATATAAGCTATATTAAAAGAAAAGTTTGAATGTCAATAACTAAAAAAGATAAGAAATTTTTTTCTACTATTCTACACGTAAAAAAGTAGGAATACACCATCATGTGCATCACACAACTCATAACTAGTATAAAATAGAAATAAGAAAGAGGGAAGGTGAGAGGTTTTCTCACCACAAAACTTGCATGTGCCTCCTATTACTCTCCTTTATCACACATGTGCATTTTTATTTTTAAATGAAAATACTAAAAATATAACAAGGCAACTTATGAGTCTTCATTGTCTCTCATAAAATCCATATTTACTCTCTAATTAGACTACTTTCTCTCTCTCTCACACACACACACAACTTTATAGTCATTAGTTAATGTTTGTAACATCTCCACTCCATCCCATTAAATTCCTTGTTATCTCTTTCTAATAAAGTAGAGGTGTAAATTAAATGGATTGGGTTAGGTTAAAAATCCAACATAAATATGAACCGTAGCTTGAATCCAAACTAATGTCAAAACCCAAATTTACCCACCAGTATATGGGGTGAGCCCATGGTTTTCAAAACCATACTGAATTGGACAATCTGACCAAAAAATTGGGAAATGGTTCCATTTCACCCCAAAACCGCTTTTTGGCCAAAAACATTTGATTTGGTCAGCAACCTAATGACATGGGTGGTCAAACTGTCGACCTGGACAATGATTTTTTGTCTTTTTTATTGTTTGTGTCAAAATGGGTTGTTTGTTTGAATCGGACGATCAAGCCATTCGACCCAGGAACCGATCCCCAGAACAATTCCCTGTTTGGTCTAGTTTTAAAATCCTTAGATGAGCCAGTTTTTTCTTGTATAAAAGTCTAAAGAAACCATTTCTACTTTCTATGGGTTTTTAGGTTTTTCTCTATTTTTTATTAATTTAATGTAGATTTGTTTCATGGGTTCTTTTGGTTCAACAATAAAATGCAGTAAGAAAGCGCTTAACATAAGCCTTTGCTTATTTTCATCAGTTCAATTTTGAAATTATTTTTTTACTTGGTTATTGATCTCATGTTAAGCACATTTTTTTTGACTTTATAGGGCTACACAACCAGTACTTCCAAAAAAGTGTTTTCACAAAAGTACTCTTATAAAAGTATGTTTGCAAAAGTGTTTTTATAAAAGTATTTCTATAAAAGTACTTTCATAAAAGTGCTTTTATAAAATTTAAAAGAAAATGAAAGACAAAATAATAAAAAATACTTATTTAAGTGCTTATTTTTTAAAATACACACTTAAAAAATTGGATGCCAAATACAAAAAGTACTTATTTGAATAAACACTTATTTTTATCATAAACATTCCCAAACGTGGCTTAATATTAATAGTTCCCTTTTTTTCTTTAGTCATGTTTTAACTTTTAAGAGTATCATTTGTCTACGACCAAGTCATAGTCTGAAGCTACAACTACCCAAGAAAATTCAGCGACATTGCCATGTTTTTAGGGTGTTAATACAAGTGATGCGGCCGAATTCAATTGGTTAGTCGTAGCTGAAGGCTGAAGTCATGCCATGCATGCCTTAATATGAGAAAAGACAAAAAGAAATCTTGGTTAATTAGTTGTTGTTGTAAACAAATGATTATGGTTCGAAATTTCTTATCTTCAATTTATTATTTTGATTATTGATCTTCAAAAATTTCAACGGTTATTATTTCTATGTATGTATTAACAATTTTAATATTAATTGGCATTGAAATTGTTAGTACATACATAGAAATAAATAGGGATCTGAAGGGGGAATTATAAGATGAACCATTCTAATTTCACTTACTTGGTTGGGTGGAATGGGATTTTGATTCCCATCTTTGGTGGAATGACATTCTCCTATTTGAGGGAATGGCCATTCTGGTCTCTGTTTTGGGAATGGAAATCTCATTCCAGTCTCACCTCCCCCTCCGCTAAAAAAAAAAAAGGGTTTTAGCATATGAAGAAAATAGACAATTCATTTTAATTCAAGTCTTATCCCCATGATCACATCCAAATACACTCCCCGTACATTGTGTACATTAGCTTTCACTTCACTTCTTCACATTTCACTCGTCTATATGGGCCTGGCCCACAAAAATTGGGTCCATTGGCATTTAGCCGCTAGATCCAGACATGAAATCACGACAGATCACCGAAGTGGGGACGATCGCTTACCCACTGTACCATATAAGGGTAATTCTCTATCTGATAATCCTTAGTCCATCTCTCATTCTCTGCAACACAAGTTCACAGCCAACCAATCAATTCGTAGATTCATTGATTTTTGTTTCCTTCTCAAGCTGTTTATTTTACACTCTCGGTCTCGGTCTCACGTGCCATACGACTCGCTCACTCGCTCTCTCTTACCGTTCTGGTTATTGCACCAGCACCACCGCACGGGACGATCATCTTACGTGCGTCATTACACAAACTTTTTCTTTTCTTTGTTTTTTTATTGTATTTCAAATTACCTAATGGCCCATCTAAAAACCGCGTTTAAATAACTACAAAATTACCAAATTATCCTTAGAGAAAGCTCTTTTTAGAACATTTCCTCAAAATGCATTAATAACTATGATTGTACTAAAGTATTATTGTACTTATGGCTCTAAATTAGTATAATGCAAATATATACAAAATACAAGATTTTGCCAAGAACAGAGAATTAATGACTATTTGAACATCTCCCTCAAAAATAATAAAATCCAGATTCAAATCAGCTGCTAATTTCAAGACTTCCAAAAGGGCCAAGGCTTCACACTCCAGAGATTAATATAGATGGAGCAACAAGAAGAGCTCCCCCATGATTCCTTATGATCACACCAGCACCAGTTTTGAGATAAAACCATAGCACCATCAAAGTTAATCTTCAGCCAGCCCAGAGGAGGTTTAGTCCAAGAGCTCTCCCAATACTTAGTGAAATTTACTAAGAAATGTTGTAACAAGGTTGCCCATAAGCTAGCAACACATGCAACTTCTATCTCTCGACTTTGTACCTGGTCCGAGTGCCCTTTTCTCCAGCGCTCGATTGTTTCTGATTGTACTGAGTGTTATCAATGAATTCTTGCATTTTAACGTTATACTCCTTCCAAACTGAGCCTATTGTTGTATTTGATTGCAGTATAATCTTATTTTACTGGAGTGCAAATAAAAAGAATGTAAATTCTGGTTTAATATTGTTTTGGGTTTTACTTCATTCTGTTTCAGATTTTATTTTACTTTATTTATACTGTGATCAAATAAAATAAGGCAAAACTTAAAACAAAAATAAATTAAAATTTGCACAGAAATCATTTGTGTTATCATGCACTGCAACCAAACACTGCCTGTGTTGCATTTGTACTTGATAAAAGCATTGAAAATCCAGAAAAATAAATCAGTGTGAAACTTAAGATTTGTTTTTCATTATTTACTATACCTTAGCACCACTAGGCATCATAAGGTACCACATAGGAGAAAACACCCATACAACACAACACCCCTGGGTAGAAAACATTTGAATAATAATTCTTCACAAGTTGACTTTCACATAAAAAAAACACCAAGACAAAAAGCAATAGAGAATGTTTTGTACCTGATTACGGATGTCAACAGGTCGGGTTTGGGTTAGTCAAGTCTATCAAATCCAGACCCGATAGATCTGATTATACTGAAAATTATATATATTTTTATTCAAATAATAACATAAAATTTGAAATATGATATATAACTTTAATAAAATTGATAGAGAAATACTAAACTTTTTATATGTTAACAAATTAATAATTTTTAACTAATATTATCTATCAAATTCATCATTTCAAACATAAAATACGATAAACATTATAAGAAAAAAAAAATGTATTATATATATTAATAAAATAACCAACTCTGAGTCTGATTGAATCGGTTCAGAGCATGCAATAACTACAACCGACCCGATCCAATTATTTATCGGAAAAAAAGAAAAAAAAAATCATAGAACCAGAACTCTCATAATCGGTTTGATCCATTGGGTCCATTTGAATAGACCACCCTACCCATTAACAGCCCAATACCTGATGAGACGTGGTAAATGGACAAACCAATAGGCGTGGGTCAATGAAGCTAACTACGAACGACAGAAATGGAAACTCATTCCAGGTTGAACTCTTGAGTACAATGCCAAAGACATCATTGAGCCAACTAAGGAGTAGGCGCCAATAGCAGAACTGAATTGATCTGGCCCAAACGTTTCTCTTATTTTGGCTTGTCCTTCACCTTCTGTTTTAACAACTACGCAACAGCTACTACATCTAAATGTTCGTATGCAATACAAGGGTATTTTTGTCAATTAAATGCTTTTATTTGCTTTTTTTGAGCAGCCAGAGCCGAAAATCTCTCCGACTTAACCTGGATTTCAACGGAATTTGAGGACATTATGGTAATTAAAACCACTACGTTTGTCCGAAGGAGCATCATTGTGTCCATTACGCATCCAACATCACCGCCATCATCAACGTTTCACTGCTCTGCAACGCAAACAGAACAATCGAAGAAAACTTGGAGGCCCTCAGAATCCCACTTCAATCCCCAATTGAAATCTCCATGAATGTTCGACATCTCAAACTACCGGTTTTCATCTTGCCTTCTTACATTTGAAGCCTAATTGCAAAAGGAAACCGGTTTTTTTCGTCGCCTACACCCATCATTTATTCTTTCTTGGCTCCAAAAATTGTCTGTTATTCTTCAAATACATTGTTCTTGAGACAATTCCCCGAACTCCAGAATCCCTTTTTGTTTATATTTTTATAATTTCTGGAAAAAAAGTGTCTCTGTAGTCTGTAGTCTGTGTACTCTGTTGGCCTGAAAAAAAAAACTGGGTTTTGTTTTTTCTTTCACTTCGAAGTTCTATCTCATCAAATTTCAAACTTTCAGCCTTTTCCTCTGTTTTTTCATAAAAATGGGGTTCTCCGTAGAGCCAAGGGAATGAAAGTTTCTTAGTTTCTATGCTTCAAACTGCAAAACTTTCTTCCATTTAACAATATCCAACTCCCCATCGAACTTCCCCAACCCACGACAGTCTTATCCATCTCATCTTCTTTTCTTCTCGTTGGTCGATCTATTAAACCGTAAGAAATGTGTAGAAACGAAACCAGAAGGGTCATGTCCCAGGAGTTGCAAACCCTAATGACATATTACAGGCCAAGCATCCATGCCAGGAGGGCGAACATCACTGTCAAATTTCAAGATCTTTATGGGTTTACCGTAGAAGGGAATGTCGACGATGTGAACGTATTGAACGAGGTGAGAGAGAAGGTGAGGCAGCAGGGTCGTGTTTGGTGGGAATTGGAGGCCAGAAAAGGAGCAAATTGGTATTTGCTGCCTGGAATTTCCTCCATCTCTGAAGGCATTGCTGTCTCCTCCCTTAAATTATCATTCCTCGCGAACGTAATTACACTGAAGAAGCTTATCAGGAAGGGAATTCCGCCTGTTCTACGGCCTAAGGTCTGGTTTTCGGTGTCTGGGGCAGCAAAGAAGCGGTCGACGGTGCCCGAGAGCTATTACAGTGATTTGATCGACGCTGTTGAGGGGAGGGTCACACATGCCACCCGGCAGATCGATCATGTAAGTTCTTAGGTTTCTGTTTTGAGTTAGATGACTTTGGGAGATGAATAGTCTGCAGAAAGGAATTAAACCATGAATGATATAAATGCATACTTAATCTTTTTTAATTTGGATTCCTCAGCTAATTTTACCAGATATTATCATTTGAAATTTGGAGAAACGTTAGAGGAATTCGAACCCAGATTCCTATAGTCCAAAATAGCTTGAAAGTAGGAACTAGGAAGAGAAAAACTAACAGTTATGAAAATTTCACCAAGGAGCACCAGAACTTTTGCCACATAATATTTGCACTTGATAGAGACTGCTCAGAGTTATGTAATCTCTCATTCTCATAATGAAGCACAGGGATAAAATCGTTTTTCTTTTTTTGGCCTTATGGCGTCAAAAAGAAAAAAATCTCGATCCTTTGCTTTTGTATATACAGTAGTAATTATATAATTTAGTAGTAAAAGCGGGTTTATATGCATGACTTGACTTAAAAGAAGAATTGTCAAGAAAATTATTATTTCTTGCTATAAAGACTTAGAGCTAAATTTTAGAAAAGAAAATCATAAACCCAATATGGTTCACCAATAAATTCAGCTCATGTTTTGGCATATTTATTCAACCAGATCCTAAGAAGTGAAGCACATACTCTGTAGTATATTGTTTTCATCCTGTTCTGACAGAGTTCTGTTAGATGTGAATCTTTCAAGAGACAAGATACATTCCTGATTCTGTCCACCTATCTTATAAGACATTCTCCAGTGCTCACTCCAGATGTACATGTCATCTCGGTCAAGAAATCTTTGCAAATATATGTATACTCCAGAATCCAGATTACACAAATGGAGTATAATTGGGTCGTAGTTTTGAACTGAAGAATCACTTGGTTGTTTGAATCAGAAATTTGAGATACAATTTGCAAGAAATACACTTTTTGATTCTTCTGCTGAATCTACGCAGGACCTACCACGTACTTTCCCGGGTCACCCATGGTTGGACACTCCAGAGGGTCATGCAGCCCTCCGGCGAGTCCTTGTTGTGTATTCTTTTCGGGATTCGAATGTTGGATATTGTCAGGTAGTTCCAGGTTCTTTGGATCCTAACATGAACTTCGTTCTCTGTTATCATAACTAAGGCTTGAATTTTCCTTGGTGCAGGGTTTAAATTATGTGGCAGCATTATTGTTGCTGGTGATGAAAACAGAAGAAGATGCATTTTGGATGCTTGCAGTCCTATTGGAGGATGTGCTCGTCACTGACTGCTATACAGACAACTTGTCAGGTTGCCACGTTGAGCAAAGGGTATTCAAAGACCTGCTTACTCAGAAGTGCCCAAGGTAATCCTCATCTTCCTATATTTTTACTAAGAATTATTCATTTTTTGTTTTCAATTATGTTAAATGTTAATGGTTTTCTTCTGGATTTCACTGTAACAATTCAGAATTGCTGCTCATTTGGAAGCTCTGGAGTTTGATGTCTCCCTTGTTGCCACAGAGTGGTTCCTATGCCTCTTCTCTAAGAGCTTGCCCTCAGAGGTTAGAAAAACAATAAACTTTTCTATTCTTTTTGCATTAGAAAAAAATGTGAATCATACTTGAAGCATGTCCCAGAACTAATGTAATTGTTTTCCATTTGCTGGATTCTTCAGACAACCATGCGGGTGTGGGATGTCCTTTTCAACGAGGGGGCTAAGGTTTTGTTTCATGTAGCTTTGGCTATCTTCAAGGTAACATTTATGATTCACCCCTTCATCTTTCTCTTTTTCTCTTCTTTTGTTGTTGTTGTTTTGTGGGGAGAGGAGAATGGAGGCATTGTCTTCACCTATCTTCAAGAATGTGTTTTTTTCTATTGAATTCTGTTTTGTGATTTAGAATTACAGTTCAAAACTCTTTGAAGTTACCAGGAAGAGGTTGTTTAAGCTGTTATTGTGGTTGCAGATGAAGGAAGAGGAGTTGTTGTTAACCAATCAGATTGGCGATGTGCTTAGTATCATACAGAGGACAATCCATCATCTCTATAATCCAGATGAATTGTTGACAGTAAGCAAAAATGCTTTTCTCAAGAATTAAGGGGACTAGGACATACACATCTTCTGATTCATCTTATTTGATCTCAAATTTTACAATTTTATTGGTCAAGTTGTTGATCTCAAATCATCCTTACAGGTGGCTTTTGATAAGATTGGATCAATGACAACCAACGCTATAACAAAGCAACGGAAGAAGCAGAAGTCTGTAGTTATGGCAGAGCTTGATCAGAGACTGAGACGGCTAAATCGTTCAAAAGATGGATGACAAATAACTAGCTGAAAATAACATAGTAATCACGTAATGGATCAACCTCAAAACACCACAGCCAAGGTCAGCCACTGCCGCCTCTTTAGGGGAGGAATGGAAAGCAAGAAATTTTCCATCCAGATTCCAGAGAAGAGAAGAGAGGCGAATGTAAAATTTGAACGTTGAGAATGTAACAGTTTCTTTTCAAATTCCGAACGAGGGTTGTGGACTTGTGGTGGATGCCTTCCGCTCTGTAACTGGAGTTCATCTCAAAACGTGAAGCAGATGGTTCCTTCTGTGCTAGACTCGTTTGTGCAGAAGCGCTCAAACCACACTTGTCCTGTAAGTCAGGATCAAAGATTCACGAAGCTCCTCTGCATAAAAATTGCGACAAACCCAGGATCTGTGGCATTCCCTTCAATCTCCCTGCAAATTGCTCAAATCTCAATGACGATGCATCTATGTATCTTTTTTTTTTTTTTAATTAATGCAGCCTGGTACGCAATTTTAAGAGACATACAACAAGTCAACAATACATTTTAGATGCACTGGAAAACTCAAATAAATCTTAAAACATATATATTAATTTTAAGAAAAAAAAACGGTTCGATTTGGATATAATTTGAAACCTACCTCGTTTCGGTTTGACCGTTTTCATAAACCAAACCGAACTGAATTTAAATCAGTTTGGGCCCTTTTTGATGGGCTTTTAGCACTTAAATTCAGTACATGAGCCCACATATATTATCTTTGGAATTATGGGCCTAAAGAACGCAAATCAAAAATAAAGTGTCGTCCCTTTTTTAGACTAATAGCCCAAGTACTAACCGATGGGCTTGTTTAGACAAGCCCATCAGATGTGAAACATTTTTTCACAGTACATCAGATGTGAAACAGAATAAAAAATCCCAACTGAATTAGCTTATTTGGTTTAGTTCAATTTGGTTTTTTCAGTTCGATAGCTAAATTTGAACACCCCTGACAGTCACCATCAGTTGGTTGATTTAAAATTAAACAAAAAATTTAATTAGGCTCAGTTTGGAAAGACTACAAATACAATTATGTATAGTGCAAATATATGCAAAATAATACAAAATATAAAGTTTTGCACTCTACATATTTGCATTTGTACTCTCTCCAAATTGCGCCTTAGTTTGGAAGGAATACAAATACAAATATGTACAGTACAAATTCATACAAAATAATATAAAATACATAGTTTTGCACTTTACAAATTTGTCTTTGTACTCCTTCCAAACTGAGCCTTAGGGGTAAATGGTTGAACACAAGAGTTAATGAGAAAAATCAATAGTGTGATTATCTGAGTTTAAATTTGAAAAGTTACCTCACACTCAAATATAAGAGTTAATAAGAAAGAGTCACTACAGGAGTTATCTACAGAAATTAATGGGGGAATGCGAGAGAATCTATTAAAGAATTGGAAGTACATGCATCCATGTACAGCCTCATCCATTTCTTCTAATTCTTAAGACTTGAGATTGCAGTGGATGAAAGGTTACAGAAGGCCCTCGACAAGGAATTGATTCACCAAAAATATGTTGAATATAAGTATAAAGCATTGCGCGAGGTGTGGATAATTCCCAGAAAGGTTGTGTTTGATTACAATGCAAATAAATTTGCACTGATGCAAAATCATGGCAGTGCAAATGATTTGAGTGTAAATTCTGACCTATTTTGTTTTAAATTTTAGTTTATTTTGTTTGATTGTAGTACGATTGAAGTAAATGAAGACATGAAGCAGAATAAAACAAAATTAAACGAGAATTTGCATTTTTTAAATTTGCACTCCCATGCATTTGTAGTAGTGCAAATAAAATTGTACTGCAACCAAACACAGCCTTAGGGACTGTCCCTTTCCGGAACAAGAATAAAGATGGCCTTCGGCCTTCCTGCTGCATTGCACCGAATTCTTCAAATCTCTCATCTCAATTTCAATATGGAAGAAGACTTTGGAAAACTTAAAGTTGGTAAAAAGATTTTTCGCTGTCATCAGGTAGTATTGGCATCACCTTCAGAATACTTCAAAGCAAGGTTATATATCTCATATGACAGAATTGAAGGGAAAGATGGTTCACCTGCTCTGCTCATGATGGACTTCCATTTCTCGAGGAACACGGTTTAAGCATGGAAGCCTTTGAGAAGATGAATACATGTAAGTATGGATCAGAATAAGATCATTAAAATGAAATCAGAAAACATCATTTTAATTCATTATTTACTTATTAGAAAAGATCTTGTGGTTGCAATGTTTATATAATCTGGGTCAGAGCATGAAAAATATGGGTCAATACTTGACCTCCAAACATACTTAGATCCCTAATACTTTATATTATATTTCCTTTTTGGGCGATCCTTAATACGTTATATTATATTTCCTTTTTGGGCTTGTCTAGCTAGTCTGCTGGTTATCTGTGTGTAGCTGTATTTGTTTATTTACTGTATTGTATTGTCCCTCCATTTCAAAATTCAAACACCTTGAAATGTTTGGAATCATCATTTCCATCTATTTGCTTAATAAAATTTGATCACTGTTATTGATAAAAAGATGTACTGTCAAGCTGAGAACACTTTGCGGGTATCCAAACCGAGCTTTTAACATTGGACAGGACCAAAAAAAAAAAAAAAAAACATTGGACAGGACAAAGGCTTAGACCAACAAAGCATTAAAGGAGAAAATATCAAATATCAACAATAGAACTGCTTTACCTTTAAAAATTTATAGAATCCACAGCATTGAGGATTTATTGGTATATATCAAGGGGCTCAGATAATGCCTATTCCTTATTGGTTACATGCATATGCACTTCAATGTTCAATCCTATTGACCCAGGGCCTACCATCTTAGACTTAGTGGCATCTGATTTTCCGTAATGAGTTACATTTTGACACCCTTTGCTATCATCTTCAGAATTATGTTTTTTTTGTATTCTGACATTGGCTTGCTTCTGAATCTGCACAATCAATCCAATTGACCCAGGGCCTACCATCTTAGTTAGTGGTATCTCTCTCTCTCTCTGCATGCACACATTTTGTTTTTTCATTTTTTGTTGCCTACATGTGCATACATGTTTGAAGTATTGTCACTCTTATTGACAAATAACCCATCTGAAAACTGAAATTCAATATTTTACTGTTTTCCAAGTTATCATTTTCTTCAATGAATGAGTACCATAAATGGGTGCTGGCGGGCTTCTCAAATGATGAAATAATCTTCTGAGCGAGAGAGATGTCTGAAAGTCAGACTGCCATCGTTCATCTGTAAAGTACAGAGGGCTTTTTGAAGTAGAAGATAAGATTTAAATGCAAGAGTTTTTTTTACTTTTGTTTTCTGGTTTAGCTTTTTAGTCAAGAAAATAAATGACGACATCTTGCCTGTTAAAGGTTCTGCTAATGCAAGTAAAACATAACATGTCGCATCTCGATTCTTGAAGGAGAAAACCCTTGGAGTTCAAACGAAATGGATCCGATCCGGAACGCTAACCATACAATACATGTTCAAAGAATAGTTTAATTATTATATAGACTGGTTGGCTTGCCTTAAGCCTCGCCTTGCTTACATCATACCACCACCAACAACACAAAGAAAGGCTGCATGAGCTACTTGTTCCCACATTTATTCACCATGACTGACCAAAGAATACACTTGGACAATGACAAAATTCTAATTACACAGAAGAGAAAAAAAGCAGGACTACATCTTTTCTCCAAATAAAAGGGAGACGGTCGACGGATATACAGCGACTCTTTCTCATTTTCGTGGGTCATTATTCCTCATTTTCAGCTGTAGCTGTGTCTGAGGCTCCATTTTCCATGGCTTCACCTGCTCCATCATTTCCATCTTCAACAGATTGAGATGACTGTGCGTTCTGCAGGCTCCAGTACATTATGCCCGCTGTTAGAGTGAGGATCATCTTCTGGTTTACCTGTCATAACATGAACTTATAATTAATCCCAGACGATAGCATCTTTTCAATGATCAGAATAATAGAAGAAAAGAAAAAGAATTCCTGTAGGGAAGATTGAAGGATCACGGATCACGGATCACGGCAGCCTCTTTAATTATATTATTTCTAGTTCTTTATCCATGGTACACGTTGAACCACAGGCTTTCTTGTGAGATGGCCAGTGGACCTCACTTGCACCCTGATCTGTCCCTATTCCTGATTACCCTGTAATGTGAACTATGTAATACCAAACATAATGATCTTACCTCCATGATATCCTCAGGCAACAAGAAAATGGAACACCCAAGCTTTCGTGCAACAGTGATTATATATGTTGCATTCATCTTCTTGTCCTCATCTGCCATTTCAATATCAGAAGTAAGACATGCGACTCCTTTTCTACTAATCCACTAAAATCCCATTCTACCACATCCGTATAAATTTATACATGGTAAATAATTCCTACTTTATCAGCTATGAAAATCTCAAAGATGTGAATATTGGTGCAACACCCCCTCCCCTGTCCCCACCCAAACTTTTGTGAAACTGAGATAAGATGACAGATAAATAATAGGACCAGAACTTCTAATGATGGAATTCATTCTTGTGACTGCGAGGAAACATACCACTTTCACCCTTTGTAACAAGCTTCCAGTTGACAACCCTTGGCTCTACAGCACTAAGAAGCTCAAGGAAGAATTTTCCATTTGAAAGGTTCTTATCCTGAAGAAGAAAGTAATACTGATGAAGTCTACCGAGGTTTAAGATTTGATAGGTAATAATAGAAAAGGCTTAGGTACCTTGAAGCTTTCCATCTGTGAACTTCTACCACTGCTCTTCACCTTTGCATTTGCCCAATTTAGAATATCTGCATCTGTTATCTCCTTTCCTTGGGAGTGGATTTTCAAGTTTTTGAGGAGTTGGAGGATATTGAATCTCATCAACTGCCATAAAAAAGCTGAAACAGGTCTGGAAAATTCAGCAGAACTCAAACTATCGATATTTTCTTATGAATAATACAAAAATTTTGGTAAGAACTGAAACTTCACAGAAAAAAAGAAAGTTTAAGAAGGAATTTCATTATTGATTTATATTATGAGGCTAATTTAGTTGGATGAGGTTTGAGAAATCACAAGAAGAGAAACATGCTCTTTACATTTTTATGGAGTTGTACAAGAGGTATGGTGACATTATTTTTTGTTCATGAGAAATGACAGCATGTGGCATACACCTCCCTAAAAATGAAAAGAAAAGTAAAGTTGCTGCTCCATTATATGATTAAGATCTTGACTTTATCAAGAAATCAAAATTAAAGTTATGCCCCCACCTAAGTGGTTTAATCTTACAGCATCCATTACTTCATGGAACACCAAAACCAACATATTACAAATGGTAAAGGAAGCGACCATGTGATAAATAGATGTAATCAAGCTAAGATTCAAACCCATGGCACCAATGTCCTATACTTCATGCTTCTTGTCTCAAGAGATCACTGCAACAAGTATCCATGAGAACTATTCATTATAGCAATAACTGTTATTCATTAATCTGGTGGTGAAAGGGAATTCACATGTAATAATGAAATGGTTAACAAGGTCAGGCTCTTTGAGCATAGACATGTTTTGAGGGAGATTGAGCAGCTGGCTAATGATCGACATTCATCATCATGATCATCTAAGCAAGCTTTTTAATTGTATCTCAAATGGTTCATTACACAACTCATGATCATAGGATTTGCATACATACAAAACTTCAAAACGTCTAAATTCTTGCAACCATGCAACTACATATTTCAGATCCCACAATGTGGTTTTGGATGCTCTCCATGGCCTTCCAAACATGAAGAGTTTAGACAGAGATGAGGTATAAAGTATTGTGTGGCACACAGAATATCTTCAAATATGCATGAAGAAGCATATGCACCAATAGAATATGTATTGGCTAAATTATCTGCTGCTTGATTATTGATGCTTTGGTTATCATTCCAAGTTGACAGTTCATCTCAGAGCACACAATGCAACCAAGATGGACTTGCCAGCAGTGCTCAACAGTTCCCTTGGATCTTCTTCTTGCGAAATGAAAAATATATTGCAGTATTAAACACTACAATCACATACCATATTTTGTATAGACAACATGTTGAAGATTTTTCTGAGCTTATCTTACATTCTTCAATTATATGTTGATATTTCATCTAGTTCAGTAACAAGCTCGTAAATGGATCACTTATTAATAAAATGAAATCGACAAATTGAATCAGGTGGATACAAACAAGCCATAAACAATACTGAATTCTAATAATGAAGTGTTTATGGACAAACTTACCAAGTATTAGCTTCTTATTTCCTTGTACAATATCATTTCCAGCTACATTGACTAGGGAAAAATTCAACTCTTTCCCAATCCTTACTACTTGGTTGCAATTTTCTACTTTTCTAAATGGCATCTTAATGGGAGGCTTTGTGGCCTGCTTCCAGTTAACTGACCCAGGAGACACTTTGTCAAGTACTTCCAAAATAACCCATCTGCACACATGAGAGATACACATTAAAAATGAGTGGTAGGATCACCTGAATATATAATGCATATAAAATGCCAGCTTACCCAGTTCTGACATCCTCAAACAAATTATTGACATATGTAGCAATTCCAAGACTGTTGATCCACAGTCGGAAGCATTTCTCTTCTCTGGATACTTGAACATCATCTGGCACCATTTCTGTTAAATGCATCTTTTCGCTGTCCATGGTCAGACCATTCCTATAAAAAGAGATCCATACCCGATCAATATGCCAGAAACAAGTGATATGCACCAAGACAACTTTTGACACTTTAAAGGTAAAAAGGGCCTTGTTTAAAAGGGTAAAGAAAAGGAAAAAAAATATTGTATAAGGACTTGTGAACATCGTTTTTGGATCTTGATGTCGAAACAATAGCTTGGGCATGTAAGAACAATAATTCTTTCGAAGGAGGCTGAAAATAGATGATTCACTGTTTCTACACAGCCACAGATTATCACAAGGATCAGAACAATAAATAAAAGGGTAAATAACCAAGGGAGTTGGTGAAAATCATCAAATAGACCCAAGGACTCAATGTGGCAGGTAGCTGAGTGGAGGCCATTTCCAATGTATTCATAAGAGCGACGTATTGGGTGTGGACAGGTTACAATGCTTTGTGGTACATACAATAAAAGCTATACAAAAAGAGGTGTTTATTAAATGGCTGCTAACTGCTCTTGATGCAGACAACAAGTACTCCTATTCTTATAGGGTCCAGATACAAAACAGCTACTTCAATGGCCCATCTGAAGCCTTTGTGTGTTCAAAATGAAAGTCTGGGAACCCCCACAATGCATCTTCTAGGTTGTGTGAGCTGCAGTTGCAATGTTTTTTGTGGTTTGGTTGGCATCATCTGGGCATGATGCTGGTTTAGTGTATATTCCAGTCCCTCGTACCATGCTATCAACTTGCTATATTGAGTTGTTCTTTAAAGTGAGTTTCTATTGAGTTGCACAATAGTCGTCCAGCTCTATTAGCCTACAAAAAGAAGCTGACATCTAAGTCATGATTCAAATATACCATTGAGTGGGAAAAAAATAATTGCTTTGCTCTACTGTAGGTTTTGACCCCATGTATCTTTCTGATGGTCAGATTCCACAAGATCCATGACCATAGGATTTTTCTGATTCTAATTCTAGTTCAAGAACAGAGGAAAGACTCCTATACATTTTCCTTTTCATTTTCTCTTTGATCCCATGTATCCTACAATTTTTATTGACTTTTCTGTTTCTCATTTTTTTCCATTATATTTTGTTAAGAGTGGTCAATCAGTGGCTGTTATGTCTCTATTTTATGTTTATCTTTATTTACCTTTTATGCATTAGTCCTGTATCTCCTCTTTAGTAAGTCAGTAGTTAAGTATTTTTACCATTGCAACTTAAGTAGGGGAACATTAGTCACTTCGTGTTATATTACTAAAGAGGGGTACATAAGTAATTTCCCCTGATTTTGTACAATAAGAATAAATAGAGTCTGGCCAACTAGGAGATTACTTCTTTTCTCCCATTCAATAGTTTGGTTTTCTTTTTATTTCCTGGCTGCTGCTGCTTCTCTTTTCTCTGCTTACAGAATCAAGGGAATCAGACCTGTTTTTTGCACACCTTTTAACTGGTTTACATGTAATGTTTGGAAGGGCCAAATAAAAGTTAGAACCATATAGTTGCAATTGTTCAATTGAAAAGAGGACCTTTAGAATTTACCCCAAAAGTTTCCCAAAAGAATCTAGGTAGAGACGCTACAAATATGTTTTTTATATTACAAAGAATGATAGTTTTAATATTACACAAACCCATTTGAAAGAGCAAAAGATCCTGTATGGATGTTCCGTTCATAATAAGGTACAATAAACCAAATGGATTTGATGATATAGACATACAATAACCATTGTACTAGAACCCTGCTACAGATGACAATAAGTCCTCCAGATTTTTCTTAAGTAAAGCAACTCCACTTAAGCAGATGATGCACATTAGCCTAAATTATACAGAAAATGAGCCTCAGTATATGGCAAGAATGTTCATAGATTATGTAGTTAATGTCTAAGATTTTATGGATAGCAAGAGGTCATATCCAGTATTTATTCTATAGTTTTCTATGACTTGATGGATGCAATAAATACAAAAAAAGAAGGAAATAAGATTAAAAAAAAAAAGAGAGAAATGTAAATTTGTACCTTTGTTGAAATATTTGTGCTACAAATGCAAGATTCAGATTTGGTGAGCCATCAACAATGTCTTTTGGAGTTAGGTATCTCTTACAATTCATTCTCTCTGCATGTTCAAGTATAAGGTTTGCCCTTTCAGTAGGATCTTTTGTACCTAATGTGGAAGGGGTACCATGTTCTGGGGCAAGAACATTAAGCAGGCAAGCATAAGCCTCTCCATCCTGCAGGAACATAAGTCTTATGATATCATTGCAAAGAAGATGATCAATATTGTGATAAAAAATGCTGCACTGCCACAAATTTTCTCCATGTGCTACCTAGTTATACATGAACTAGGCCTGGATCTTAAAATGCAAGAAGAGTTTTGTGGGACATGCAACTAAGTTTTATTAACATTAATTTTTTGAGTTCCAGATTAATACCAACCCAAAAAAAAAAAAAGTCTTTCCATTAATTGACAATAGTAGAACTTGGTCAATTGTGTCTCTTACCTTTACATCTGTAGAGAAATTTGTAATAGTTTTCTTATAGCCTGCTTTCTTCAGTTGGAAATTCATCCATCGCAGTAATATTTTTTCCGGGGGTAAACCCATGAGCTCCTCTATATCCTGTAAAGTTTGATATCAGCAAAGAACAAATGATGTTTCCTTCTTTTATATTTTCAACATAACTAATACAAGGTAAAGCTCCATTTTCTTAAATTTAAGACTAAAACAAGAAAGAGGAAAACAAATGAAAGTCTCCTCACCTTACTGTCATCAATCAACTCCACAAGCTGAGGTGTCTTCTTAAGATTAAGGTCTGCTAAGAGTTGGATCTGATACAATCATCAAATGTAAATAAAATCAGAGACAAAGATGATAAGTATAAAGAATAGATCACTGCAATCTGATCAAAAGAACACTATGCAAAATATTAACAAGGAAAACATTTTGGGTTCCCACCTTTATAATCTGGGAAATCAAACCAACTACGAGATGGGGCTGCAAAGAGCAAGAAAAAGAAGCTTCAGCAACAATCAAGCAGTCCTCAAATACAAGACAATACTAATGGAACTCAAATGGTCAAGTGATACTAATTCAACTCACTCTTCCTTCAACCAAATCTTGTGTTCCAATGTTGACCACAGTGCAGCCAATAGCCTTTGCAGAATTGAGGCATAGGGTATGATTTTCATTTCTTTCCCAGGGATTTAGTACCCGTTTGGTGTTTATAGCACGTTCATCAATTGTTCCAGGAACCGCCACATTGATCAGCTTACTGTATCGAGCCATCATACATTCATCAACAATCGAGAAATATACACTAGCATCACAAATTCATAATCAAGATGAGAATTGTCATGCGGACTCTGCATATATACCAGAGAAGAACTCCATCTTTAGCAAGATCAAACAGACTATTTGTAGCCGGGTCTATAGGAAGGTATTCCTTCAGGAATTTATCTTCTGCAAGGTAGCTATTGATGTGGGCAACGTAAGACGCCTTCTCCGATTCGCTAATGGTGTGAAGAAGGGTAGTTGTGGTGGCCTTGAGAAATGACGATGAGGTCTTCGAAACCCCCTCTTTGGCATGAGCTTTGGCTTGCAAATCCAAGTACGCCTGCCAAACAAACGTTGTTCATCAATGAAATCTTTCATCCTTTCAACTCCATTTAAAAGAAAACACCAATGTCTTTCTCCTTTCCATTAGCACGGTTGTCATCCTTGATCAAAGAAGAAAAGAAGAAGAAAGAAAGAAAACTGAGACAACAGAGCAATGCGCCATGCAACCTCCATGGTAAGTAGAGTAGACTCACTCGAAGGAAGGCTTCGAAATCGATCTCGCTGGACATATCAGAATATGATTCACCCAATATCCCGGCAATTTCCTCCTCGGATAACATTTCATGGAGTGCCTTAAGCTTTGCCATTACAGGCGGCAAATCTCGAACTGTAACTTGACCCGATGGATTCCTCGTTGAAAGAAACTGAAAGAAATAAATACAACTAAGTTCAGAAATCACCTCATAGTCACAAAAAGGTTCAGATAATCATCCCGAACAAAAGTGGAGAGAAAAAAAAAACACAAAAATTAAAAGAAAGAAGATGTCAAGAGATTTGGATTCTTACTTTGGATTTGAGGCCGCGAAGTTCGACCTGAGTGAACTGGCTTTGAAGCCATGGATCGGAAACCAGAACACCCACGTAACTGGACATCTTCGCCCCTGTTGAGAGTGGCCAACGTGGGGAAGAAGCTAATTACCCACTAAAATTGTTCCTAGAATTCCACGAAAACAAATAAAACTCAATAAAGATTGGCAAATAGAAATTTCATTAAACAACACCAGAATTAAAATATGAAGTCAGATCCATATTTCGCAGGCAAATAAAATTGTAAGAAAATCACAAACGAGAAACCATGCAGACAAGTGGTTTAACGTGCATGTTTCTCCAGTATCTATTCGACTCATCTTCTATTCTGGACAGACGGATCCTAAGAGAGGATCCAAAAAATTGAAGAAATTCGGCGAAAGTAGAGAAAACAACAAATTTATTTTTGTTGGTAACAATTTCCCTGACGAAATGAGAAACAAGAATTCAAACCAGAAAGGAAGATCAATAGGCAGAGAGGATTCATGAGCAGAAACCTGTTTGAAATCAAAGATGCATGTTGATGTTGCTAGGTTCTTTGTTCCTTAACTTAAAATTTCTATAGGTCAGACTGTTCTTCCGATTATTGTTCGCTTCCAATGGAGAGGAAGAAAGAATTGAGAGATAAGTAGGATAGCTTTTCCTTCGATGAAGGAAAAAATGAGGACGGAGAGAGAAAACCGTTTTCCTACGAACCCGCCAATACAAAGCGCGCGGTCTCCATTACATGCTTTTTTTTTGCATTTCTGGAATTACTTTTTCTGTTAAAATCTCCAAATACGGATGCTATTGTATCGGGTTCGGGCAACACTTTCCAGGTTCACATGTGATTCGGTTCGGCTTATCTAAGACTCTAAGGTGGTCATTTCAGCCCGGCCCGGCTCCAAAATTCCCGGTTTGCACGAGCCTAATACTTCAAGCCTGCCCCAAATCCAGCCTAACCCTATCTATTTTATATAAATATATAAAATATTATATATAAATCCAGCCTGGCCCCTTATCACCCCTAACCTGTCATTCGTAAATTTTGCACTGAATTTGCTCCCGAACCTGATTTGAAATCCAATATATTATTAGACTGGAATTGGATTCAAATTTAATCTGAATTTGACTTATTGTACTTAAAATAAAAATAAATAAATAAATATTTTTAACTTATACTTATTAAAAATTTATTAGCTATAGATATCAGCCAACTTCATTGTTTCTATAATTTATTATATTTTATTAATTGATATAAATATTTGTTATGTGACCCAACACCTCCCCGCCCGCTTTGTAACTCTGTTAACCATATCAAACCCGATGAGAATTTTTTGTGGGCTAAACCCGACGTATTACATTACATGATTATATCTGGTCTGATCTGACATATGGAACATTAGACTATGAAATAATTAGAAGGCCTCCGTGACATTATATCGTGAAATAATTACGCGGCCACCTATCAATGGTAAGTGATCGTATGGTTCAGGCAAGAAATGACCCTGTGTTGCTTTAGGTCTAACCCGGCGCACCAGATGGCGAGCCTTTTCCCATTCTCTGGTAATTTTTACCGATAAATCAAGATTAGTTTTAAGGGAGGCGTTTGAAATTTTGAATTCTTGTAGGTCTGCAGTGTAGAATTTAAAAGTGCAGTTTATTTATCCCTAGTTTTAACTAGGCCAGATCACGTGAGGTAGGGGATGGGGTTCATTGTATAGACCCATGAAAAAAAAAAGAAATTAACGATTAGTGTTTCATCACAATTTGTTTACATGTGACACCACATAATGTATAGAATTTTTTAAAATCCAATATTATTCTTTTTGTGATTGATTTTGTCCTTCACTTTTATTCAAATTTTCAAAATAAAACTCAATATCCACTTTTCTAAACAAAAACACAAATTCAAATTTTACTTGGTTGAAGATCAAAGGCAAATTCCAACCAACGAAATCGGATCTGCTCCTCACACTTGGTGCCTCATAGGCACCTTACACGCACATCCTACCATGCATTGGGAACATCTCCCATACTTATTAGTTATTATTCATGAGAGATGTTCCCAATGCATGGTAGATGTGCCTATGAGGCACCCATTTGTGAGGAGCAGATCCCACTTCGGAACCTAACCCCTGCGGTGTCTATTGGCGTACAACAGAGTGTTTTTATTGTCCTACACCCACTCTGCCTTTTGCAAAACATTGCTACTACAGCTAATGTTTACAACACCTTACCGTTGCAACTTCAATTCCAAAGAACTTGATGATGCACATTTTGACAGTTCTCGGCTGGTAGGTGACTCGGATGCCTGGCTAAATAATCCCTACCTAGAATGTGGCTTGGACACCTATCTGAGTGGTGACAAATTGGAGAGGTGGCTCTGATGCCTAATTGAATGGTGACGAGATGGAGAGGTAGCTCTGATGCCTAGGTGAATGGTGACGAGCTGGAGAGGTGGCTCTAATGCCTAACTGAGTGGGGACGAGCTAGAGAGGTGGCTCTGATGCCTAGATGAATGGTGACGAGCTGGAGAGGTGGAGAGGTGGCTCTGATACGTGGTTGAATGGTAACAAGCTAGAGAGGTGGCTTTGATGCCTAGTTGAATGGTGACGAGCTGGAGAGGTGGCTCTGATGCCTAACTGAGTGGTGATGAGCTGGAGAGGTGGCTCTGATGCCTAGTTGAGTGGTGACGAGCTGCAGAGGTAGCTCTTGATGCCTAGCTGAATGGTGACAAGCTGGAGAGGTGGCTCTGATGCGACTTGCAAGGAACAGTGTCAGAGAGTTTGGGTTGCTTTACCCGGGGTGGGCACTCCAATGCTTAAGTCAGTGAATCAGAGATTTTTAAGATAGCTAAATGTGAGAGAGCTTAAAGTAAGAGAGCTAGAAAGCTGCGAGAACTAAATTGCGCATGTACCTTGGGTCTCAGGGGTCAATGCCCTTATATTGCTGGGCTGCTATGGGTCTTGCGAAATGCTCCCGGAATCCTCGGCCCATGACATAGGGGTCCGTTCCACTTTGGAAGGAGGATAATGTGCCAATTAATAAGGCTTACCATTTCCCTCCGATTTGGGTAGGATGAGGATAAGGCCTATAGTTATGCAACGTGATCCCGTAAGGTTCGGAGACAACTGGCAAGCTTCTAGAGAGGTAGGCTGTCAGGTCGCCAGTTGGGACCCCATTTTAGCTAAGGCAAATTGTCACCTAGGCGATGTTGGGATGTAGTCCAACTGTTTTGATATGCCATGTGTCATGATGTCAGTGGAGGGCCAGATCTGCCCTCATCAATTGCCCCCCACTCTCGAGCTGAGATCAACTCAACAAAGGGAATAGATTTGTGCTTCATTGTAGGTCATTTGGCCTGTTACCAACATATTTCAAGGTCGGCTTAGGGGTCCTTGATGCTAAAAGCGGTTTGGCTTCCCCTTGTGATATGTGTGTTGACGTTGGAATTTAAATAGTGGGTCGGTGTCATGGCTGCACTGTGTCAGTCCTCTAAGGTGTTGATTGTCTAATCCCTACTATAAGCCACAAGGAGCTCAACCTGCGGGGGCAACTTTACTAACTGTAGGTTGCCAGCTCGCATGGGAACCTTGAAAGGCTCAACCTGCAAGGGCGATTGCAATCCGTTAGCCGCCGACTCCTGTGGGAAACACGGAGGGCTCGACTTGTAGGGGTGATCTCGCGAACAGGGCTGACAAGGCTCGTCCGGGCTGATTACATGTGTCGCCAAGTCGACGAAGGTAGGTTGCCATCTCGATGGCATAGGCAAATTGCTAGGTCAGTGGAAGTAGGTCACCAGGTCGGCGGAGGCAAGTCTCCAGGTCACCAGGTCGGAGGCAGATCTCTAGGACGCCAGGTCGGCAGAATTTTGACAGTCCAGTTCTGCTCTTAGCACCTCAGCAGGACTGACTTGCGAGGGCGGCTCCACAACCTGACCATCAACTCCCATGTAAAGCATGAAGGGCTCGATCTGCGGCGCGACCTCACAGTTTGTTGGCTATCAACTCCCATGGGAACCACGGAGGGCTCGACCTGTGGGGTGGCCTCACATTCTGTTGGCCGTCAACTCTCGCAGAGAGCACGAAGGGGTCGTCGACATATGGGGCTGGCCTCATAGTTAGGGAGATTCTGTTTGGGCAAGACTGCGAGAACTTGTTTGGGCTAATCATTTTGCTTTTGCCCCCCTAAGGGGTTCTTTCGATCAAGCATTGTTGTTGTTGCTTGAAGATGTTATTACTTGAGGCTCAAAGAATCGGGTGAGAACATAACCTTTTGTAACGTTTCCCACAGACGACGCCAATTGATGATGGGCATTTTGGCAGCTCCCGGCTGGCAGGTGACTCGAATGCCTAGCTGAATAATCCCTACTTGGAATGTGGCTTGGACACCTAGCTGAGTGGTGATGAGCTGGAGAGGTGGCTCTGATGCCTAACTGAATGTTGACGAGCTGGAGAGGTGTTTTTGATGCCTAGCTGAATGGTGACGAGTTGGAGAGGTGGCTCTGATGCCTAACTGAGTGGTGACAAGCTGGAGAGGTGGCTCTAATGCCTAATTGAGTGGTGACAAGCTGGAGAGGTGGCTCTGATGCCTAATTGAGTGGTGACGAGCTGGAGAGGTAGCTCTGATGCCTAGCTGAATGGTGTCGAGCTAAAGAGGTGTTTTCTGATGCCTAGCTGAATGGTGACGAGCTGGAGAGGTGGCTCTGATGCCTAATTGAGTGGTGACGAGCTGGAGAGKTGGCTCTGATGCCTAGCTGAGTGGTGACGAGTTGGAGAGATGGCTCCTAATGCCTAGCTGAATGGTGACGAGCTGGAGAGGTGGCTCTGATGCGACCTGTAAGGAAACAGTGTCAGAGTGCCTAGGTTACTTTACCCAGGGTGGACACTCCGATGCTTAAGTCAGCGAATCAAAGATTTTTAAGATAGCTAAATGTGAGAGAGCTGAAAATAAGAGAGAGAGAAAGCTACGAGAACTAAATTGTGCATGTACCTGGGTCCTAGGGGTTGATGCCCTTATATAGCTGGGCTGTCGTGCATCTTACGAAACGCTCCCGGAATCCTTGGCCCATGACATAGGGGTCTGTTCCGCTTTATAAGGAGGATAACGTGCCAGTTAATAAGGCTTACCGTTTCTCGCCGATTCAGGTAGGATGAGGATAAGGCCCACAGTTACGTGACGTGATCCCGAAAGGTTCGGAGATGACTGGCAAGCTTCTAGGGAGGTAGGTCGCCAAGTTGGCGGCAGAGGCAGATCGCCGGTTGGGACCCCATTTTAGCTAAGGCAAGTTGTCACCTAGGTGATGTTGGGATGTAGTTCAGTTGTTCTGATATGCCATGTGTCATGATGCTAGTGGAGGGTCAAATCTGCCCTCATCAAAACTCAATCAAGTCTATTAATGGCAGTCCCCTATAACCCCTTTCATAACTCGAAATCATGGTGACCAAAACCATTGCAAGAGATATTCTTGAAGGCTCTCAAGCAATGTTAGAATCCTCAACCAGGAGGAAAGCTTACATCAAGCCAAAATAAAGAAACTAGAGAGGCTTGCAAGCAAGGGCCCAAAACCCGACAATTCTTGGTCAAGTCATAACTGCTATTGGTGCTCTTGCCTATTACCTCAAATCAAGTTCCAAGAAACCAAAAGAGGTCCGAG